ATACCCCCCCCCCCCCCCAACCTTTTTTTTCAAAATGATTTCCGGATATCGATATTAAAGTCTAACTAAATTCAAATTCATGCTAAAAATTCCACATTCGGATAAAAGTATGCATTAGACTAACTTTCTATGTTATATAGGAAAATAGTTCAGATTATTGCACTCGTACTATGTAAAAATATTTTTGTCTTCCGTTAGAAATTTGGTTTATCCATATACTCGTCGTTACCATTTTGGGGTCATGGTTAATCCAAACTTTTAATAAAGAGGGGGTGAGAACTTATTAATTAGAGATTTAATTAACATGTAATTAAGCATTATATTAATTAATCTAACGTGGTTTAATTATGTAGGGAGGATCTGGAGAAGCTAGCAACATCAAATTTCAGAATGTGGAAATGCAAGACGTTGAGAATCCCATAATTATAGACCAAAACTATTGTGATCAAGTTGAACCATGTAAACAACAGGTAATTATTGATTAAGGAACAATTAATTATATTTTATTACTTCTTAAATTACCTTACATCATTAAAAATTTGAGATTTTTTTCACTAGTTGTAACTTTTTGAATAGATTTTTAGTAAATGATAGTATTCATTTATTCTTTTTATTTTTCTTCTAACTTATAGATCTTTTAGACTATGGTCTAAAAATCCTCTTTAAGAAAACTGAAAATCATATGAAAAAATGTTAGATCATGATCTAAAATTTTGTAAGTCATTCAAATGTTAGACGTCATCTAATATTTTGTATGTAAGGTTGAGAAACATATGCACAAAACATTAAATCCAAATCTAATGATATCTGAAATATTGATTCAAAGTCAATCATGACTGACCGGAAATTTGACTACACAACAAGTAGTACATGCATGTGTTAAGCATATAGATGAAGTCACTTCAAAACGAATCACATATAAGTAAACTATAACCTTAAAAAAAACATTAGTGTAAATCGTAGAAATCATAAAGTTTGAAAAAAAATTCAACTCGGCCTCTGACTATTATTTAATCTCTTTTGTTTGTTCCAGTATTCAGCAGTTCAAGTGAAAAATGTGGTGTATGAGAATATCAAGGGCACGAGTGCAACAAAGGTGGCCATCAAATTTGATTGCAGCAAAAACTTTCCATGTGAAGGAATTATAATGAAGAATATAAAATTAGTAGGGGAAAATGGAAAACCTTCAGAGGCTATGTGCAAAAATGTCCATTTTAACAATATTGAAGATATCTCACCAAAGTGCCCTTCAGTAGAAAGTTCAAAGGATGAAGCTCTTTTGTATAATTATTAGAATTTATACTATAGATTTTCAATATAGCACAATAAAAGAATACCTATTAAATATTATTAATATATATATATGGATTGAAGTTTTAATAAGACTACTATGTATTTCTATTTTCTAGTCAAGATTTACAATTGTACTCTTTTTATATACAAAAATAATATGTGGTTGTTTATATGATGTAATATATCCCTTTGGTATTTCTTATTGAATTATAATGTCATTATTTAATAACTATTTTTTTGTGCAACGACTGTATTTGTCAATACATAATATATCTTTCATCATTGATAATAGGGATAAAATATTGTATGTGTATTACTCTGTGACTATATATAAGGTTTTTGTTTTGATTAAAACTAGCGAAAACACTAATAAAACTACTTAAAATTCAATGTGAGTATCAATATTATTACTCATAATTGTTTGGGATCGATATGAGAATTCATCGTCTAAACATATTTATAATCTTTCATGGATAAACGCATGCTCACTAGCTCCAATCAAAGCACATATTAAGTACGTTTTAACCTTAATATCTTCTCTCAAGCGAAATTAATTAAATTTAATAAGCCAACTTTTTAAAATTAAAATGGATCCAACAAGAATTAAAAAATTACAATTGAGTCCCCTACCTAAAATTACGACTTTCGATAAACCCCAACATTGAACTTTTGCTTAATTCTCAATTCTGCTGTTGTGTTGTCTCTTTCCCAGAATTTTCTAAAGGCAAATTCAATATCCATTTTACCAATTCTCTAAAAAAATCAAGGGAATTAATTAGATATATCAGTATAATTTATCGATTAAACATTTTCAGATTCTTGATTATTTTTTTTTTACTTTTCTTATTATTATTTTTTTTTGCTTGAAGAAGTTTATTGATAATTTCAATGGGGACGCCAGAATTTCCAAATCTTGGAAAACATTGCTTTGTAGATGACTGCCGGCAGATTGATTTCTTGCCTTTTACCTGCGATTGTTGTCACCAGGTTCCTCCTGATTTCATTTTTACATTCACTATGGTCAATTTTGTGTTTTTTAGCAACCTTGTTCCTGTGCAATAGCTCGCAAACCACTCAAGATATGTAAATCGTACTAGGCAAGCGTCATGTGACGAGCTCAACCCGGAAGGCTAACCCCCTTGTGTTTTAACCCTTGTTTGTTATTTGGTACTTATTTGATTAAAGTTGAAATCTTGTATGTTTAGGTGAGACTAATTAGTTGAAATTGAGGTTTAGTTGTTATTGTTGAACTTACCTTAGGTGTATTTAGTGTTTGTTGGAGTCTTTGTAGTTTGACTATAGATTTGTAAGTGACTATGGGCATTAGTATGAGATTTGAGACAAATTATTGAGTTTTGAAATGGAAAGGGATGAGTAGTGGCAATTTTGCATGTTTTTTTTATGACAAGGGAACCCGCAACCATCCCATTCCTGTGCAATAGCTCGTAAATCACACAGTAGAGGTAAACCCACTAGGCAAGCCCCATGTGATGCTTGACCCAGAAGGCTAACCCCCTTGTGTATTAAGCCTTGTTTGTTATTTGGTACTTATTTGATTAAAGTTGAAATCTTGTATGTTTAGGTGAGACTAATTAGTTGAAATTAAGGTTTAGTTGTGTTTGTTGAACTTGCCTTAGGTGTATTTAGTGTTTGTTAGAGTCTTTCTAGTTTGACTTTAGATTTGTAAGTGACTATAGGGATTAGTATGAGATTTAAGACAAACTATTGAGTATGTCTTGTGCAATAGCTCGCAAACTAGACATGAGAGATAAATCGCACTATGCGTTCCCCATGTGATGAGCTCGACCCAGAAGGCCAAACCCCTTGTGTTTAAGCCTTGTTTGTTATTTGGTACTTATTTTGATTAAAGTTGAAATCTTTTATATTTTGGTGAGACCAATTAGTTGAAATTGAGGTTTAATTGTTATTGTTGAACTTCCCTTAGGTGTATTTAGTGTTTGTTGGAGTTTTTCTAGTTTGGCTATAGATTTGTAAGTGATAATGGGTATTAGTATGAGCTTAAAGACAACATATTGAGTATTTAAATGGAAAGGGATGACTAGTGTGGAATATATTTAGAAGATTCATATTACTGATGCCAGGTATTGAAGCATAGTTGATATATTAATCGAAGGTGAGATCTTTTTGGTTGGAAGCTATGTTTAAAGATTTTTCTTGAATCTGATTTGGTAGGTTCCTTTTTCTTTGTGGGTTTTGCGAGCATAAAAAATTGATCTTGATGATGTTTATGGGAATTCACTTAAGTGGGAAAAATGACCCTGAGTGTTCTAAGTTGAAATCTTTTTCGGTATAGGCGGGACCTGTTAGTTGGGATTAAGGTTTAGTTGTTGTTGTATATTTGTTGCACTCACGTTAGGTGCATTTAGTGTTTGCTGGACTTTCTAGTTTGGCTGTAGATTTGTTAGTCACTTTAGGGGATAATGTGAGTTTTTTTTTTTATAACCGAGAAATCCGTTTGTGACCCACCCTTTGGACCAATCACAGCCTTATAAACTCGGTGGATAATGGGCTCGACCCTCTACCCTTCTCCACTTAAACACCAGGCTTCGTTTTGCATGGTGTGGGGCTTGAACCTGCAATAATGTGAGATTTAAGAATCTATAATTTGTCTTAAAAAGACAAATTATTGATTATTGAGAAGGGAAGGGGTGAACAGTGTGGAAGGGATTTAGAGGATTCATATAGCTGATTCCAGCTATTTGGTATTAGAACATAGTTGATCCATTAATCAAAGTTGAGATCTTTTTGGTCAAGCTGCATTTGAAGGTTTTTCTTATTTCTGATCTGGTGTGTTTCTTTTTCTTTGTGGGGTTTGTGGACATAAAAAGTTGATCTTGATGATGTATTTAAAAAATTCAGCGAATGGGAGAAAGTGATATTGAGTGTCATAACTTTTCCTTACTTTGGCTCTAGCATCGAAGAAGTAGCGATAAATCTGCTATACTTAAGAAGCTGATGTACATTATTTGCATTGTTGATCTATTTTAGCTGGGATGCTTGAGAGTAGGATGTCCTTGTTTTTTGTTTTTATTATTTATAATGATCTGGTTTTTTATATCTGACTGAGGTTCCTTTGAATTATTCATAGCTTTTTCAGTGAGTAAGTTTGCTGTCTGCTGAAGATGTGAAAAATAAATGGCATTCTGATTACAAATGTGTTGCAGTGGTAGAACTCCATTGTATCTCTATCATTTTGAATGCGCTATGACAAGTTTATTCTGTGCTATATTCTCATCTTTGCATTTGCTGTATAGCACCTTCATAGAAAATTTGAGCCCTTTTCCCTCTGTGACTCTTTCTGCGTTATTTATTAAAAAGTAACTTCTCCGTTAAAGTTGTTCTGAAACTATTTGCAAGTTGATCATGCTTAAAATGGACTTAATTTTCCTTATGATGGCATTTTGACATTGCAAAAGTGTGCCAATCTTTGTTGTGTACTGTTTTCCATTTCACAGTATTTCGTTGTTGTTACTATTCTTTTAAGTCGAGGGTCTATCGGAAACAACCTCTCTATCTCTACGATCTAAGAGGGAGGGGTTAGGTCAGTGTACACTCTTCCCTCCCCAAACCCCTCTTGTGGATCTAAAAGGGGCTTAATGTGGGTTATGAAACTTGGCAGGTGTATTGTCTAGAGCATCGGAGCTATAATAGACACCACTGTCCGACAGCGAACAAGAATGATGTTACTGTGGTTGTTTGCCCACTCTGTGCAAAAGGAGTACACCTTATTCCTGATGAAGACCCGAATATAACTTGGGAATCACATGTAAACACGGAATGTGATCCATCAAACTACGAAAAAGCCACAAAGAAAAGAAAATGTCCCGTACCTGGCTGCAGAGAGTTCTTGACTTTCTCAAACACAATCAAATGTCGGGAGTGTACTGTAGATCATTGTTTGAAGCATCGGTTTGGACCTGATCACAAATGTCCTGGACGTAAGAAACCAGAAGCAGCATTCTCGTTTATGAACTTTCGAACTGGAAGTAGAAAAGACGAGCCCAAGAAAGCTCCAGCCACATCATCCTCTAGTTGGGCCTCATCCTTCTACAAGGCAGCCGAAGCTGGAATAGCAAAATTGAGCACTGGAAGGGGCCAAAGCAGCAATGCCACAAACCATAGTGGGAATGCTAACGGGCAAGTTGAGCAATGCCCACAATGCACTCTAAGATTTTCTTCAGTCACAGCTCTCGTGAGCCACGTACAAAAAGTCCATGAAAAGAACGGTGTCATGAACTTGACAGTCGATGTCTGCCCCAGATGTAGTAAAGGTTTTCGCGATCCAGTGTCCCTTGTAGAACATGTTGAAAGGGAACATAAAGGAACTTCAAAGGCATAAGGGAGGTCAATGTAAAGAAGGAAGTTGCAGCCTTCTTGTTATTTTTTAATCAGCACATTTTAAGAATTTCACTGTTGCATTGTTCTTTTGGTGGTGGGGTGGGGGTTGATTTGGCCTTTCTTCTCCTTTCGTTATAAGGTGCGGTCTGACTCTGAGAAAAGAAATTCTTGTGTTCATGGGGTTCGAAATGTTGTGTTTAGGAATCTATGAGTACCATGTCATTGTTCACTTGAAAAGGAATAGCTCGTAATCTCTAATTCATACTTTACGATAAATTACACTAGAGCTCATTTGATTGGGAATAAGTTGTTTCAAAATTAATTAACTCGGGATTAGTTTTTTCACACTCGTTGTGGAATAAAAATAACACTACAATCTCGAGATAACTAATCAGGAATAAGTTATCCCATGATTTTATCACAACTAAAGATGGTATAAACTCATCCTAAAATTAATTTTGAGATTAGTTATTCCTTATCCCTCCCACCAAACGAGCAATAAACACCTTTAAAGCAAAAAAGCAAAACAAGTTCCAGGGATACGGGCAGAAGGGGGGGTTTCTCAATAGTCCAAAACTAATTATCTTTATAATATGATTTAATTGTTCATTCTCAAAAAATATGATTTAATTGTAGATGCATACTTTTCTTTTAAAATCAAATGCTTACATCTTCTCTACTATAAAATTCTAAACAAAGATAAGCTTGAATAATATATTCATTTTATTAGGATGTTAAATAATTTAGATTTTACTGTTGAAAAACATGGGATACACTAAAATATCCTTACTACACTGACAATAACAACATATCACCAACTTGTGAAGATAGAACAAGTTATTTTCGATAAAATATTCAGAAAAATGTGAGTATGTGATTTTAAAATTGTGAAATAATTAGAATAACATATCCAAAAAAATTACATGTTTTTTTTTTTTAAAAAAAATGACTAGAGTCAAACGGCGTCGTATTTAGCACTATCCACTTCTCATTTCTAGAACATTTGAGCAAAGAACACTCATTATCAATTCTCCCACTTCAAGCTCATCGTGGTAAGCTCCTAATTCCTCTTTCATTTCTGTAAGTAAATTTACTATTTTTTTATTATTATTTAGAGGATTTGTGCTATTGATTACTGCCCCGATGAGTAAAATGTTGGTATGAAATTGCTAAAGCTTCTTGAAATTAGTTCCAAAGAATCTTCATTTGTTGTATGCTGGATTAATGGTTAAAGTTCATTTTAACTTCTATTGTTTTTTGAAAGTATTTTCTAAAATTGAACTTGCTTACAGAAGCTTGATAGATATTGGGAATATGGATCTACAAAGAATTTTTCTTCATTGAGTAAATGTTTGATTTTGTTGGACTTGAACTAAGGCCTTTGAACTAAAAAAGAGGAAAAATATAAGCTTTTTAAAATAAAAAATGAGACTGTTTAGGTGATAATATTAGGTGAATTCTTTATGATAAGCAATGAACTCCCGGAGTTCTTAAGGCATGCTAGTAGAAATGGCAAAAGAATGTGAATGTGTTGGTCCTGTTGTGAAGTTATTTTCTTATTAGGTTCTTGTGTTTTTGGTTAATTTTTTCTCCTAGGGTCAACTACAAGTAAGTTGTGAATGTGCATGAGTTAAGTGTTTTGAACTAAGTTGCGCAGACTCTTCACTTTTGATGCTGCACCTCTCTCAGATTCTCCAAAAATACATTACTTTTGGAGTATCCGATACACACCTGTTGACATTTTTGAAGAGTCTGAGCAACATAGGTTTTGAATTATCATCATACTTTGTTCTCATATTAGGTGCGGACTTACAGTTTGTTTGTCGGGTTGGAAAAGTAGGAGTTTAGGATCGGGATAACGATCCTATTTGGTTAGGTAAGATACCAGGTTTACGCAACACCTTCTTTAATTTAGGGGGAAAGGAGGATATAATGTTCTCTTACTTCCCTGTCAGATGTACCAAACGACATGACGGGAAGTGTGAATACCTTTTTGGAGAAGAATCAACAGTTTTACCACCCACACTACCATTCACCTCTCTTTTCTTGAACCAAACATTGTTCTAATATATAACTATCTTTTGTTGTCTGTCCATATGGTATATCATGTGCTAGTTTGCTTGCTGATCAAACTGAAGATCTCAAAATGATTCATGTATTCCTTCCGATAACCTGTAACATCAATGTGTCACTACATTATAGAGCTAATGATAGTGGGTAAAGAATCATCCATGTAGATCTTGATATTACGATATTATGATTTTTTAGTTTCTTCAAATCTAATGCAGCAACAGCGTTTTATTACCATCTTTTGCTGCACTGAAAACAACTGGATATCGTCATGAGTTCTTTCTTCTTTTGAAGTGTAGTTTCAAGGGCCCAAGGCCTTTCTATTCTTTAAGCACTCAAATTACTGTCTTATTGTGTTTTAGGTAATCTTTCAGTTGTTGGAGTTCAAGAATGGCAACAAAGTACATTGTTGGTTCAGTGTTGGCATCATTTGCTGTTGCATATGTTTGTGATGTTGTTATTGCAGACAAGAAGGTGTTTGGAGGCAAGTACAAAATTATTTATCAATTTACTTCAATTTTGAATTTGGTTGTGCTTACAGGCACTCGTGTCGTTTCATACAGGTACTACTCCACATACCGTTGCAAACAACGAATGGTGGAAAGAGACTGACAAAAAATTTCAGGCATGGCCTCGCACTGCTGGTCCCCCAGTGGTCATGAACCCTATCAGCCGCCAAAATTACATTGTCAAGTCTTGATTAAGATGTTTGGTCTCAGTTTCCTTTCGAGTAGTTGTGTGGTAGTTCGTTTGTAATAAACGTTTGTTTCTGCTTGTGCAACTACGGGTGTTATGTCTTGTATCAGTGAATCGACTATGAAACTTGAAAGGATACATGATCAAATGGATAAAGTAGCTACTTATGTCTTTAACTTGTTATGTTGATTCTCAGCTCTCTTTGCAACTTTTTTATTTCTGGCTAAAATAATAATATTTCTGTAAGATGGGAATACCCCTAGTGTTATAGATCTTATGTTACATTGTATTTGTAGGAAAGAGTCCAGTAGATGATATACCAGAAATATGTATATGCGTGTGTTTTTCTTTTGTAATCGGATGTTTCCACTTTCCAAAGGGACAACAAAAAGCTAGGACAAATGAGAAGAATCACCTAGTATTTTTTTTGTCTCCATGGAGTTTTGAACTTGAGACTTCAGGATTCTCAATCACTTGATTGATCACTAGGCCACACCCATTATTTCCATGTTGGGATTATGCCAGTCTTGGCTGTGCCGTTTTAATTTATGAAGGGAGGTGTAGTCATTACCTAGTGTGTTTTTGGGTTTGGTTCAAATTTTTTTATTTAGCTTGAACAATCCTAACAATGATTAAGAAATAGACCATCATTGTTTAGACTAACTAAATGTAATTAGAAGTTTTAAAAAGAGTAATCTTCACAAAAATTCAAAAAAAAACATCTTTAATTTGTATTCATAATCAAACACAACTTGAATTTTCAAATATCATTATTCACTTTGATTTAACGCCTTATCAAAATACTATAATTCAGGTATAAAAAATAATCCATCCGTTACTAAGGTTTTTTTTTAGAAAAAAAATTGGTTATTTAGTGCCAATTAATCAAATTATTTTTTGGCTATCATACTGCAATACGTGTTGTACTTATAATTAACATTAGCCCATATTTTAGGCCCAAATGGCCGGCCCCTCTATAATTGTTTGCCCTAGTTTCATTTAATTCCTCCAAGAACTCTCGTTCCTCAGTAAAACAAAAAGAAGCAAAACACCTCGTTTCAGGTAACAATTTCTGCTAAATTGTCTATTTTCCTTTGTTTTTCTTCTCTTTTTTTCGATTTCTTTTATGGGTTTTGCATCAACTTATGTGATTGTTGAATGCAACATTAAAAGTTTGGCTATATGATAATCTTCTAGTTTATTATCTTCAATACAATTGTTTTCTTTGTTGTAATTGGTGGAATTGGTGGAAGTTGGAAAAGATAAAATAAATTGATATGTATTCCTGTCTTCTTTTTTTTCTGATTATCTAAAGCAGCATTTTTTATTTTTTTTGTTGGTTCGAATGAACTGCTGCCAAGTACTTGCATTGCCTTTGTTAGGTTTAATGAGTTTTCCAATTTGAGTGTAATAAGTTGGAGTCTCCCTGTATTTGCAGTGATAGGATATTTGGGAAATGGCCAGCTTAATATCACAGAATATTACTCATTCGATAGGGGATGAAAAGTCTAAAAGGAAGACTAAAGGTGAAGGTAAGGAAGAAAGTGAGAAAAAAATTAATAGGAAGAGAAAGAAAGAGCACAATGAAGAGAATAAAGAAGTAGAAATCAAGGATAAGAGGGAAATGGAGAAGCTTGAGAACTTATTGTTTGGATCATTGTATAACCCTGTTGGTTTCGGGAAGGATGATGAAGATGAAAAGCGAGATGATGGCGGAAATGAGTCTGCTATGTTCTTTGTGGACCGGGTTGCTGATAGTGCATTGTCTGTTTATGAGGGAGATGCACAGCTGGTGCAAGAAGGTATCGTAGAAGTGGAGAAAGAGCGGAAACCTGTGTGGGTAGATGATGAAGAAGAGAAGGCTAGTATAAAAATAGCAAGTGTGAACAGATTGAGGAAGCTGAGGAAAGAAGAGGGCGAAGATGTGGTATCTGGTTCTACGTACGTGGAAAGACTAAGGGCTCAACATGCTAAACTTAATCCAGGCACTGAATGGGCCCAAATTGATTATCAAAGCAGAAACTACAGTTCTGATGATGAAGATTCTGACGAGGAAGGTAAACATATTGATGACTATGGTTCCAAGGATGTCAAGTTGGTGGATGATATTCTTCAATCAAACGAAGATCTTGTTGTCAAAAGTCGCACGAAATTGTTGCCGGGGCTTCTTGAATATTCAAGACTGGTTGATGCTAATGCAGTTGATCCTTCAAATGCACCGATAAATTCTGTTCAGTTCCACAAGAATTCTCAGTTGCTCCTTGTTGGTGGATTGGATAAAAAACTCAGATTTTTCCAGATTGACGGGAAACGAAATACGAAGATCCAAAGCATCTTTCTTGAAGACTTTCCAATTAAAAAGGCTTCTTTCTTACCCAATGGGTCTCAAGTTATTATATCAGGAAGAAGGAAGTTCTTCCATGTCTTAGACTTGGTCAAAGCAAGTGTAGATAAAGTAGGTCCTCTAGTCGGCAGGGAAGAAAAGAGCCTGGAAAGTTTTGAGGTATCTCCTGATTCAGATACAATTGCTTTTCTTGGTAATGAAGGATATATTTTGCTAGTTTCCACCAAAACAAAGGAGCTCATTGGGACACTAAAAATGAATGGAACTGTCCGCTCAGCGGCATTCTCTGATGACGGACAACAATTACTGAGCTCTGGTGGAGATGGCCATATTTACCATTGGGATTTGAGGACAAGGACTTGCATTCACAAAGGTGTTGATGAAGGGTCCATAAATGGTACTGCTCTTTGCACTTCGCCAAATGGAAGTTTGTTTGCTTCTGGTTCAGACAGTGGGATCGTAAATATTTATAACAAACAAGAGTTTTTAGGGGGAAAGAGAAGACCAATCAAGGCAATTGAGAATCTGACCACGAAAGTGGATTTTATGAAGTTTAATCATGATGCTCAAATATTAGCCATCAGTTCTGGCATGAAGAAAAATAGCTCAAAGCTAATTCACATTCCATCATTTACAGTTTTTTCAAACTGGCCCTCTCCAAATCGGGCTGTCCACTATCCTCGCTGCTTGGATTTTAGTCCTCACGGAGGATTCATGGCTCTGGGAAATGCTGCAGGAAAAGTGTTATTGTACAAGTTGCATCATTACCATGATGCATAGTTAGTTTGGATACAGTTGGCATTATGAGCCACAAATGTTTTTGTTAGTGTAGTATGAGACATTCAAAGGCATGCTTTATTTTTTCCTCCTTTTAAGTTTTCTGATGTAACAGTATTTTCCAATGTATGGCAAGATGATTTGGTAAAGGACTTTCTCCTCTTTACTTTTTACAGAGAATCGTTTGTGCCCTTCTCTGTTTGTTGTAAAAGCCTGAATGGTTCTCACCAATTCCTAGTTTCAGTTACTATTAATGCAATTTACATAAAGTTGCAGATGTCACTCTTATCATTTAGTTGGCTTCATTTCTGATAATGGTTTTGTTGACATGAGTGCAGAAGGTTGAAGAATACATGGTCTGAAACCATGCAAGGATGAATCAGTTCTGCAATGGAGATATGGTGAGGAGTTGTTGGATTTTCATATTTTTGGTTCAGTGTCTCCCCACCTTTTTATTTTTTATTTTTTATAATAGGTTATATATGGACGAAATAGGAATTTTGGAAGTGTGTCCATCTTTTATTATTTGTTTATCCATGGAAATTTCAATATCGTGCCACTCTTTTAAACCAGCATTCAAGTAGCGATAGTTGTCTGGTTTTTCTCCGAAACCTCCTTAATATCATGAATCAATGTTAAGTAAGATCATTTTAGTTAAATTATCAGCAAGAATCAATGCTGTTATAGGCGAGCAAAGAACCAAATAGACTTAACACATCTTGAATCAGTTGGAAGAAAAGATCAGCTTAGTTTTCTTGGTTCACTTTCTCCTTACATAAATTCTGACCAATTTGATAGCTAAATGGTCCTAGATAACAAAATATTATGACATCTATTCCAGAATGGTAAAGACTATAAATTCACAGCATTAACATATATGAACATAGATAATAACAAGTTTTCGAAACATGTCAAGGATTCATTTCTCTGACATTACCAGATCGGGTGAAAGAGATACAAAACATCACATTTTATTTGGCGTGGATAAATTTGGCTAACAATGAGCATACCTGGTCAGAAATCTGGGGAGCTAAACTTCGTCTTGTTATATAATCATTCGAGTGGTTTTGTATCAAAATTGTATATTCCATATGAATAAGTAACTTGATTCACCCCTGTTTCAGAGGTGTCTACTTGTTATCTGCAGCAAAAAAAAAAAGGATGGAAAGAAACTGAAAATTTTGCTCAAACGGTTGGAGAGTGATGGTGAATTTCCCTGTAACAGCAATGCAACAAAACTTGCAAAATGAAAAGTGAACTTGCAGATACGTTTTTACTTCTTTGCAGTGGTTCTATATAAAATGGATGAACTCTACTGAAAAGGAAAAGGATACGAAGCAGCAACTCACAAGACAAAAATGAAGCTGAAACCGCAGTGGACCTACAAAATGCTGTCCGAGAAGAGGTAGCCGCTGCTGGCTTGCCTGAGCTCATTTTCCGGCAATCGGAAATGAAGAAGCTCTTGTCTAACAACCTGCGAAAATCTCCAATGTAAATCTGAAATGCAAAGATTTGATAACTTTAAGATTTGAAAAAGAGAAATTTGATTGTTCTGTTCACCTTTAGATGAAATAAGAGTAATGAAACTAATTCAGTATTACTAGAAGAAAGAATGATCCACTATTAAATCGTTACAATTCGGAAAGTAAAATAGACTCTGAGAAAAATGAATCACAATAAGCATCAATATTTTAAGATCCTAAAACTCAGAAACAGAGTAATGAAACTTCGTAGATCGGAAGAATGAAATTCAAAACTCTAAGCAATCAATACAGGATAGAAAATCTGCCATCTGAAGCAATGAAAATTAATCTAAAGTATCATCCTATGAATATTTACTCAACCACAGCAGATAGCGAATTCAAATCTAACAGATCATTTTCTCAGAGACTAGAACAGAATGCATCAAACTTTCCACCAAAATACTTTCGGTAGTTTTTATTAGAGCTAAAATGTTCGATTCCTGTTTCATATTGAAATAGTTGAGATTCATTTTTCAGATCATAAAAACTGGCAACAGAGGAGTTCAACAAAAACAAAAGCACAATAGCAGATTAAATCA